GGGGGGGCGATTGGGTCATCCAAAAACCAGAGGATGCCACATTCCCCATGCTGAAGTGCCCTTGGGCAAGATACTGAAACCCCAAATTGCCCCTGATGGTTGTCTCGGCAGCGTATGAGTGATGTAGAGAAAGAGCTGCACATTGATGCACTGTATGAATGTGTGTGTTAATGGTTGAATGGCAAAACTGTACAGTAAAGTGTGTTGAGTGGTCTCTACACCTCTGTACAAGAGTTCTGCACCGACCACATACACACAAAAATTCATACATTATCCCTCCTCCCATTCAAACAAGTACCGCCCCATACTGGCTCCCCGGCTGCCAGGTGTCAGATACCACCCAAAATGTAACCGTACACACATACACACATACACACATACACACACAGTGCACAGAGTTGAGTAATAGATCTCATTATTTATTAAGTTGGTTTCATGAGCTCAACCCTGAATCATTCATTTGGTTAAGCAGCTCTCTCCAGAGAGTGAGGAAGACCAGAGGAAGAGCGATAGCTTCGTGCTAATGAAAAGAACCCGCTGCCCTTTGCTGCTTATAACCACAAACCACCCTTTTGGAATACTTCAAGATTTGTTATTATCCAAATGCCTGGACAACAACCCAGTGACCTTTTTTTACTCATGCCACTAACCAGCCTCTAGACTCGGGAGTCACGTCTGCTTGGCTCGGTGGATTCACCTGTAGGTCACTGCTAACGTTCGTGCACTAACACTGGATGCAGCTCTTCCGCTGAGGCCTCTAACCTGCTGTGACTAAACTAAAGCTAACTCCTGCTATCCAGCATGACCTTGCTCATACTTGTCCTGCTGCTCACACTCTGCCTGGGAAAGGTGCACTCGCAGGTAAGAATAATTAATTAATTAATTAATTAATACCCAATGTCGGACATTGCATGTGCACACACATCTTAACACACAGATAGAAGAGAAGAGAAAATCCCTTATAAGTCCCACTATGGGGGAATTTGGCATCTTACAGCAGCAAAGAGGATAGTAAAAAAGAAACATTAGTAAAAGTAATAAATAAATAAAGATACAATACAAACACAAGGAAATCTGTAAACAGAATATATAGTGTCTATGGAGTGTAATAGGATTGCACATGATATTGGAATTGCGCAGATAGAACACACAAAAGGTAAATACATGCATACGTAAATATGCATGAATGACATATAAAATTTAAAGCACATACAGTTTTTTCCATTAAGATCCATCAATCGTTCACCGAGATATAAAATAAAAATATGTCACAAAACACCATAGCTTGCAATGTTAAAGAAAGTGAAAGAAAAAAATGCCTGAATCCTCCCCCTGATCCAGATCTACACCAAAATTGAATGGGCTCCTCCCTGAACCATACTGTATCCTTCCACCAAGTTTCATGGAAATCTGTTCAGCAGTTTTTTTGGGGAGTAATCCTGCTAACTAGAGACAAAAAAACAAAACCTCCTTAGTGGAAAAAAATGCTTGGTCATATTTCTGGGCTGGGAACTTAAGGTGCTGCTGTGTCACCCAACAGGCTGGTGTCATAGTGTCAAGTGTTAATTGCAACCAACACAAAGGCTAAAAGACTGCAACACACAGACAACTCATTCCCTGTGTGTCACCGACTTAAACAAACATACTTAGACAATAATTAACAAAGATATTAATCCACCCACCCTCATCCAACATTAACAGACAGCTCTTTATTACAATACATCATAATCTAAAACAACTGAGGGTTGACTGCCTGTTTATATTGTATTGTATATCTTTTTCATTTATGCAGGCTGATGTGGTCAATGTCAGTCCAGGGACACAGTTCACTGTAACGGTCACAGCGGCCTCGTCCTCCAACTTCAGCCCCGGGATCAGCCGCATGATCAACACTAATGAGAGTGGTGAGACGTGCACACACACACACATGCACACAGCTTTCTGTTTTGGGGCGTTTAAGTGGCATCAGGTTCTCTTCCGCCCTCTGCTGTTAGGTTCAGGTCCTGTGCGGCAACGTACAGTACTAAGGTAGAGGGGAGAGTACAGTAGGTGTGTGTGTGTGTGAGCGCGTGTGTGTGCATGTAGGTGTGTGTGTGTATTCTACCTTCCATGTTTAATTCGTTTCAGGTAACTTAAGCCCAAGCTTTTGAACCGCAGGAAGAATGGGTCGGTGGTGAATGTCAGTGAAATGCCACTGCTGTGTGAGGCCTTATTCATCAGAGATTGGCCCATTACACACTCATGCAGACTCACACACACTGATACACACACACACACTAGGATCAGCCCACCTTACACAACAGCACTATTCTTCAAAAAGCTGCTGCTGTGTCCTGTTGGGTTCTGATATGCAGAAGTTGTAATTAATCAAAAGACGTTTACACATTTCTGCTTATTGATGGTATTTTACACAGCTTGAGTCTGACAAGCTTATATTAAAAATTATGTTTGAATATATGAGTTTTATTCGCTGATTCTTCTCTTCTTTCCTCGCCTATCCTCTCCTCCCCTCCACTTGCAGTTCCTGGTCCCCCTTTGGGCCTTGAAGGAGAGGCTGTCGGGTCTAACGGTATTCTGCTCTCTTGGACCATGCCATCTGATGCCAACGATATCGATGAATATGTCATCAGGTATTTTTGTTTTAATTCTTTTTTTCATGGACCATATAAACAATGAAAACGATCTTACAGGACAGAGAGTGGAAGCTAAATCTCTTCTGTAAGGTTCATTGCAGCACAAAATCTATAATCTTGAATTAAAACAAAAGTATGGAGCACAGGACTGATGGACTAAATGAATTATAGATACAAAGGAAAATGAAATAGAACATGGACCCATTTCCATTTGGGGTTGTGTATAAAATTCAACATTCAAGGAGCATTACTTTCATAGTTTTCAATTAAAAAAATATAAATGTTGTGTGTGTGTGTAAAATAAGATTCAGTTCTGATCTAACGTGACCTGATAAGACGGGTTTCTGTCAGTCAACAATACACAAGATTTACAAAAGATAAATACTATTCAAAATATGCAAAATATCTATTTCCTATAGCTGTGAATCTTTTTGTCTGTCATCATGTTTGTAAATATGTATATCATGAGTTGGGAATTAATAATCTTACCTTATTTTTCTCATAGGTACAAGGAAGTGTGTCCCTATCCTGATCTCACCTTCACACAGGTGACGAAGAACCTGGAAATACCAGAGACGCTTCTCACTGACTTCACCTCAGGTTCTACTTACCACATTCAGGTGAGATACATGAGACGTGGGGTAAAGTTTTGTTTTCATTACATTGTATTGATTTTATTGGGATCACCATTAGCTGATGTTGATTTCTTTAACTCATAAAAAACAAAACAGAAGTAACCACACTGAGACATTTAAACAAAGTTGTGAATATTTAAAAGAATCATAGTTAATTACTAAACTCCAGTGGAGTATTGGGGCCATATTGAAGAAAAAAGCCCTAATATTACAAGAATAAAGTCAGAATTGAGAATAAAGTCAGAATTTAATTACACGAATTAAAAAAATTAAAAACTACAGTAAGCTGTAAGGAGAACACATGCTTTCTGAGTTCCATTCCTTCTGGATCCAAAATACAACCATTCTCACTGTTTCTTGAGAAACTACAAAAAAACTTTGAATGTCACTAAGATGTAACAATTGCCTCACTGTGAATTTCAAACGCCACTGGGTTCAGTAGTTTTTGAGTAGTGATGAATACATAACCTCCTTGGCGGAGGTAATTAAAACAGGTTTTCCCACAGGGAAACTATACATAATGTATTACATACATACATATTTCATACACAATTTTCATGGATATTACAGTTGGACCACTGTGTCTGTATATTTCATTAAATATACACTTTTAAGATTTTTGTGAATCTCATAACGAACACATTCGTTTACAATCGCCCTCCTGTGTCATCATGCATCAGCATGTGACTCGTTCATGATCCCCCAGCAGAAGGCCATTCTCTTGATCTGGCTGAATAGTAATTGATCCTGATTGCATTATTAATCAGGTAAACAGATCTATGGATCAGCCGCAGCTCTTTCCACTGCCTGTTGTCACTGAGCTTGAATGTGATCGTGCTTATTAGTTTTCAGAATTCATTAACCTGCTATGACCTTCATACAAATAGACTCTGAGAGGCTGACACATAGTTATAATACCTGCTCATACTGTATTTGTGTGTGATGTGTGTATCACATTACTTAACCTCACCTGTGAGTGTGTTGGTCTGCTAAACCCCATAGAGAGCTGAACTCGTGAATCTCCAGCCTACGTCCTCCCTACCGCAACCAGATGAAGGTTTTCTCATGCCTACGTGCTCTGTCCAGAGGCCGTATATGAACACCTCAAGGGACTTTATTCAAATTTGGCACAAACCTTCAGTTGGTGGTCAAAGGTCACAAAACAAATGTATTGCCCTGTGAATGCAATATCTCAAGAACAACTTCAGGGAATGCTTTCAAATTTGGTGCAAACGGTCACCTAGACTTACAGAGGAACTGATTAGAATTTGGTGGCCAAGGTCATGGTGTTCTCACAAAACATATTTTTTGGACTTGTGAACACTATATCTCAAGAACAACTTCAGGGAATGTTTTCAAATTTGGAACAAAAGTTTAGTTGAAATTAAGGATGAAGTCATTATATTTTGGTCGTCAAAGGTCAAGGTTGCTGTGACCTCATTAACCCCTTTTTTGCTCTGTGAATGCATCATCTGAAGAATGGCTGAAGAAAATTTCTTCAAATTTCACACAAAGTTCACTTGTGGTCAACGTGAACTCACAAAACATGTTTTATCTCAAGTCCAGCTTTAGGGAATTTCATCAAATTTGGACAAGTTATCATTTGGACTCAAAGATGAACTGATTAGATTCCAGTGGTCAAAGGTCACGATGATATCATATTATTGTGAATGTCAGAAACACTTGGAGGAAACTGCACTGGTTGGCAGAAGAATACAAGCACAGGGCAGTAATTCTAGTCTCTCTGTGTTATGTTATGTATACTTCTGCAGCCAAAAATCACATACTGACACATACACTGCAACAAATTTGAACATTAATCAGTAATTTTGTCTGTAAGTGATTCTGCTGAGGTAAACAAGTCATTGAGTTCTACTTGTTTCGAGAGCACTCCACAATCAGGAGAAATACATTTATTGAACCCTCTAAACATCACTTTTAGAGATTTTCAGAGGACAAACAAAATATTACACTTGTACAATCTAATCCATTACAATAACCCCCAGAGAACAATTATATGTGAAGATGGAGATGCACAATCCAGAGAGGCATTTATTAAACTCTATGGTAATGTATTTGCTGTGCTGTCTGTAGTTATTATATTGCTTTTTTTTCTGTTGTTCCCACTGCTTTGCTCCCTATAATATACATGCTCCTCTATAATAATGGCATTTTTCTTTAATTAGTTGCACAATAAAGTCCTGTTGGTGAAACTATAAAACAAAGCTGTTCTTCTTCTTTCTCGATAAGATGACTTTTTCTTTAGGTATCCAGTATTTGTCATCGTGCCCCAACATTTAAAAGAAATTGATAAATGTAAGATGAAAATTCAAGATTTGGGGATACAATTCATACAGTCAAGTTACAGTTCAATCAGCTTAATAAAGAAAAGTTGCATTGTTTTATTTTCACTTCATTATAAATTCATTTTTCATTCACTTTCATTTATTCTATTTGAATACACTGACATTAGCACCTAATCAGGTTTGTGAATGAATCATAACTCTCTCTCTCCCTCCCTCCCTCACTATATCTGTCTTTATCAATCCATCTCTCTTTCTCTCTATGTCTCTCTCTCTCTCTCTCTCTC